AAGGCTTTCTAGAAACACACGGAGGCTAAGGCTGGAGTCGGAGGCAGAATAAAAGGTGCAAGACATGATTTGGCATGACACAGCAAAAGCAGCCCACAATCCTGTTTTTTCAATCAGGACTCACAGCACGATATGTCTAAAAGTTTTGAACACTGCAGTACGATTGCCTTCACAAGTTTTTTTTAAATTTCTGCATACTGAGTTGCATTCTGAAAGGTCGCAGAAAGCATAGTGGATTTTTTAAATGTGAATAATTGATTGTATATTGTTTAACGTCCCTCTCGATCGGATTTTGTATTCTACTCGGCACCCGGAGCTATTGTTCAGTGAGGGATCTTACCACTGCGCCACGCGGGCGAACTATTGGGTGTGAAGGAAGCCTTTAGCTAGAGATCCATTTCCATGGCCACCAAAATGAGGATATATGACATGTGACTTGCTGGTTAAACCGATGGACATTAATTCAAGGATTTAGTGAACTGATGAACATTAGTGGCATAAACCTAAAATGAAGAAGCACCAGTAAGGTGCACATGTTTAGAACCCGCAGCAACACATCTTCGCGAAGATGACAGCAACATTTAACATACGGTAGTTAAACAACATGCATATAAAGAAAATAAACATGACCTCCGAGGAAAGACGTCGCAATTTTGAATGCGTACATGTGTTATTCCCGATCCCTTTCTTTGTAGAGCTTAAAATAATTGGACCAATAAATGGATTTTTCTTGAAGCGTTAAGCAAACCAATATATATAGATAAATCCTTAGATATTAATGTTTTTGAAACCAGATGGGATTATTATTTAGTAAAAATTTTCAAACTGAAAAAATAAATGGATACCTAGCCTCCTGGGAGCAATTTTAAAGAACTATATGCGGTATATTGCATATATTTGCCCCCACAAAAGTCAAATTTTGAAAACTTCCTGAAATGTGCTGAATTCAATAAATTTTATGAGAAATATAAATTAACAGAAAATAATTTAATTTTGCTTGTATTCTTGCCTCTCATTGGTTGATTTCCAAAAAGGAACGCATAACATTTTGTATAATCTGGTTTGGTATGGGGACACACCCCCTTGACAACCAGCATAATCATCTGTATCCATCAATCCCCTCATTTCCAGTCCTTGGGATTCATGGAAAATTCCAGATTTAATGAATGTACCTTTAATTTCAAACAGTTACTCGATCTTACCTCATGTAAACAAGCATCATGGCTGCTAGATCTATGTATAAGTTTTTACCTCCCCTCGCTTCCCATCACTTTCGTTACTACGGTTGTATTATTGCGCGGTAAATTTGAACTCATAAAAACAACACAATTTTACATCCCCAGTTGAATAATTATTTTAAAATTAAATTATAAGGAATGACTCTAATTCTTGGCCAAATTATCGAGTATAATATGGTTTGGGTCAGTTTACGCTTTTTTATAATCCGCTTCGCGGATTATAAAGCGTTAACTGACCCAAACCATATTATATTCGATAATTTGGCCAAGAATTAGAGTCATTCCTTAAATTTTATAGTGTCAAAGCAGTGTATTCACAATGTTTGTTTTTATGACGTCACAAACTAGTCCGATTTTATATCCTTTTTCAGAAAGAGGACAAAATGGACAAAATTTCAACAATTTTAGCTCTAAAATTTATAGAGCGCAAGTTTGTTCAGGAACAATACTGACAAATTTCATTGATATTTTCATTCTACACATTATATCAAAATATTGATCCTGAACACACATGCGCTCGGTGACTTTTACTCAAAATATCGACGAAATATGTATATTTTTCTGTAAAATTCATAAAAAACTGAAATTTACGTCATGTTTGTGACGTCATTACGTACATATGGCGTCATTACTTATGAAAATATTCAGTGCTTTGAAGTCAGCATATACTCCCCTGTTTAAGAACTTAATTAGATATATCTCCATCAAAGTTTGATTTGGGGGGCAAATATTGGTTATTACCGAATAAAGTTCTTTTCTAAAAGATATCAAAAGTTCCTACGCTAATTTCAATAAATCGGTAAGTGGTTGATTGAGTAAAAACAAATACTAGTAATAGTACTCATTGAACAGCACAACTCAACATATGTTTGTCATAAGAGACCTTGTTTTTTTTTTCGAAGTAGAAGTGGAATGCAAATAGCGTTCAGTGAATAATGGTATATGATAAAAAAAAAAAAACATCTACATGTATATTATGAACAAATCTTATCAACTCAAAAAATATGAAGTATACAAAACAGTTGTAATGAATTCTCAAATTATTGATTAAATTGCTAGCTTTTTCATTTTGGGGACAATTTCTATACATTTGTACTACTCTTGAAAAGAGTTTTATCCCAAAAACGTATGAACCCAGTACAATTCTTGTGAAACCCTAATTACATAGGTTCATTATCAACGAAAGAACATGTCGTTCAAGACGATATCTTTGGAATGACCGGAATGAATGGGGAGCGGTGTGAAAGGGGTATCATGTATGGGAACTTTTTATTTGCAAGAATACTAACTTGTAGCCTTCTTGGCAATACGTCAGCTGATAACTTTAAAATAAACTTTATAACACCTGATAATAGACCCAATTTGTATCCCAAAATTCCATTGATTAACAGTTAAGAATAAAAATAAGACGAACTTATTGCTTGGAGGTATGGCTTTCATATTCTACGTGTGTACATATATTTCTTGTGTCAAGGCCTTTCTTTGGTACCAATAAATATGACTTTTTGACCTTGGCTTTGACCATCTTTTTCAAAAAAAAAAAAAAAAAGACTTAAACTAGGTCATAACTTTTGAATAGTTTATCTAGTGCTTTAATATTTCACATGTGTATTTGTTGTGACAAAACCTTTCCATGTATATAAATATTTTGGAAAAATTATCCTTGACCTTTGAATTTGACCAACTTTTAAAAAACCTTTAACATTGGCCATTACTTTTGAATAGTTAGAAGTGGGACCTTGATATTTCAGGGACATGTTTCTTTTGATAAGACCTTTCTTGGATACAAACAATTTTCACCCTTTGACCTTGAAGTTTTACCTTCTTTTGATTTAGCCTTAACCACTTTTGAACAGTTAATTCTAGGGCTTTATATTTCTTTTGTATATTTCTTATGACAAGACCCTTCTACATTAAGTATGACCCTTTGACCTTGAAGTTTTAAAAACCTTTAACCTTTAACCTTGACCATAACTTTTGAATGGTTTTTGCTTCAGCTTTCGTATTTAATATTTATTGAGACAACATTTCTACCTCTTTGAGTTTTACTTGTATTTCAAAAACTTAAAACCTTTCCCAAAAGCTCCCATACGAGGGGCATCATTGTTTCACAAACACAAAATTTTAATTCTTTTCAAGGGTATACTAGATTTTTATTTATCATTATATTTGCATTTATTTATTTGATTATGTAAATTAATCAGGGTGAGAGCGGGCAAACCATTTAAGAAAATTCCCCCCTCGTTTTTTTTTTACCTCGATGTTCTGTAAATTGTGTATCACATCTCAAAATTATGACATCAATGGATCTTATTGTCAATGAATGAGACTCTTGGGAAATGATACCGGCTTAAAGTGGCAGGCCTGTCTTTGCTCAAAGCCAGGACGAGAATGTTACATTCTTTCATAACCTATCATCTACGGAATTTGCGGCACTGATCTTCCAAAAGTTACCCGTTTTGGTTCTAAGGCACTAGTTTACAAATGTTTGGAGTTATCTAAGAATGAAGATGAAGTTGTTTAATAAATTCACCATTATTTATTTTCAATCAAATTAAGTAGGTATTTAGTCCGGTTTTTATGGACACAAGTCGGTAATTGACAGTTAAAGACCGAAACTCTTGATGTTTCCAAATACCTGTCAATGAAACTATGCGAACGGTAAAATTAATCAGTCTTTAAGATTAACAGAGGTACTCCGGAAACCGTTAAAAAGTATCCGGAAATAAAGAATGCACTTTATTCACCAATAAAAAGAACCCAGAAAGCAGGTGGAACAAATTATTGACCTTGCGAGAGTATTACGTTCACCTTATCAGGTGTTTGGGGGAACATTTACTTAATCTATCGGTTAGGAGGAACTGTGTATACTTTGTTTTGTAATGGAAATCAAATTACTTATTTATTGTGAGTATCCTTTCTAAAATTTGTAATTTCCTTTTTTTGTTTCATTCTTATTTTTCTTCCATAGGTGAATGGCAACTTTTCCAAATTTATCGCTTCTTAAAGTATATTTGGGTCATATATTGTAAAACATTTTTTAATGAATGTAAATAAATCAGTCAAATTCAGATGAATGTTTAGTTTAACCGAGATTGGAGACAAGAGACGTACAGGAGAACACATATTTTTGCTATATATATCCATCCTCTTTTATGAATGTGTTTTACTTTTCAGATTTTCTTTTGCCGTTTGTTTATAACCAGGGATCAGTAGGTAAATCTTACAGTGTATATATATTTTTTGTAATATGTTTGTCCTGTGTAAATTGTCAAATGTCAAATATGTTACGAAAAAATATTGAAACAGACTTTTCTCTCTCCTTTCAACATATGATCCAATGCTACGCAAAGTACTGTCATAAAAAAAGCATTGTACACATATTATGAAACATTGCGTAGCATTTTTCTTACATTTGAAAGTGTCCGCACCTACAACAAATGAACCTACAACTTCGACAGAAAAACCCAAAAGAACATTTCTAAAATGTCTATCATGTAATGATGTTGACACTGTGGATGCTTGCACAGAAGAAAGAGCATGCGCCCCGGGTCAGGTACGCTTTATTTCTGGGTGACATAAATGCAAATGTTACATACTTAAGCTTGACTGCATATTGACATTATTATTGATACATGTGTATATCATTTTTGATGTCTGATACCACCGAAAAGAGGTGAAGAGCGGATCGTCACCTTAGGCTAGCGAAGATGATTTTATACACGATTTTATGCTTAGTACATACATGTACACATGTATATATAATAATTTATATTATGTATATCAAAACATAACATTAAATATACAAACCTTTTTTTAATTAAGACACCGAAAGTTAATTTGAAAATACAATATTTGTATTTAAAAAAAAAAAAAAAAAAAAAAACAAAACAAAACAAAACAAAAAAAAAACACAAAAAAAAACACCCTGTCCAATGTTAAATTCTAAAGGTGTTCTGTAAGTAAATACATGTATATATTCAGTATTTAATTGAAATATTTTTTAATAAAAGGAGCATTTGAATTATTGGAAAGTGTGTCTTAAAATGCAATGTTTTTCAATATACAAAATATAATACACATAAACAAATTTCGTGACATTCTTCTTATGTTTTTTTTCAGTTCTGTTTCCTTGACAAATACTCTGTATTTGTAAGAGATTCGCACGGAAACGATAGGGAAATTTTCAAATACAATGCAGGATGTCGTAGCACTTCGGTAAACAATTAAAGCATATATTGCACTGTTAGTATATGTATTTCAAAACTAATTTGAATATTCCTCTTTTTTAGCTCACCTGAGCCGAAGGCTCAAGTGAGCTTTTCTGATCACATTTTGTCCGTCGTCCGTCCGTCTGTCCGTCTGTCTGTCTGTCCGTCTGTAAACTTTTCACATTTTCGACTTCTTCTCAAGAACCACTGGGCCAATTTTGACCAAACTTGGTACAAAGCATCCTTGGGTGAAGGGGAATTTAAATTGTTAAAATGAAGGGACATATCCCCTCGCAAGGGGAGATAATCAAGAAAAGACAAAAATAGGGTTGGGTCATTAAAAAATCTTCTTCTCAAGAACCACTGGGCCAGAAAAGCTGAAACTTATGTGGAAGCATCCTGGGGTAGTGTAGATTCTAAATTGTTCAAATCATGACCCCCGGGGGAAGGGCGGGGCCACAATGGGGAATCAAAGTTTTATATAGAAATATATAGGAAAAATCTTTGAAAATCTTCTTCTCAAGAACCACTAGGCCAGATAAGCTGAAACTTATGTGGAAGCACCCTGGGGTAGTGTAGATTCTAAATTGTTCAAATCATGACCCCCGGGGGAAGGGCGGGGCCACAATGGGGTATCAAAGTTTTTTATAGAAATATATAGGAAAAATCTTTGAAAATCTTCTTCTCAAGAACCACTGGGCCAGAAAAGCTGATACTTATGTGGAAGCATCTTGGTATAATGTAGATTCTAAATTGTTCACATCATGACCCCCGGGGAAAGGGCGGGGCCACAATGGGGAATCAAAGTTTTACATAGAAATATATATTGGAAAAATCTTTGAAAATCTTCTTCTCAAGAACCACTGAGCCAAAAAAGCTGAAACTTATGTGGAAGCACCCTGGGGTAGTGTAAATTCTAAATTGTACAAATCATGACCCCCGGGGGAAGGGCGGGGCCACAATGGGGTATCAAAGTTTTACATAGAAATATATAGGAAAAATCTTTGAAAATCTTCTTCTCAAGAACCACTGGGCCAGAAAAGCTGAAACTTATGTGGAAGCATCCTGGTATAATGTAGATTCTAAATTGTTCAAATCATGACACCCGGGAGAAGGGCGGGGCCACAATGGGGAATCAAAGTTTTATATAGAAATATATTGGAAAAATCTTTGAAAATCTTCTTCTCAAGAACCACTGGGCCAGAAAAGCTGAAACTTATGTGGAAGCATCTTGGTATAATGTAGATTCTAAATTGTTCACATCATGACCCCCGGGAGAAGGGCGGGGCCACAATGGGGAATCAAAGTTTTACATAGAAATATATATTGGAAAAATCGTTGAAAATCTTCTTCTCAAGAACCACTGGGCCAGAAAAGCTGAAACTTATGTGGAAGCATCCGGGTATAATGTAGCTTCTAAATTGTTAAAATAATGACCCCTGGGGGAAGGGTGGGGCTACAATGGGGAATCAAAGTTTTTTATAGAAATATATAGGAAAAATCTTTGAAAATCTTCTTCTCAAGAACCACTGGGCCAGAAAAAGTGAAGCTTATATATATAGAAGCATTCTAGGGTAGTGTAAATTCTAAATTATAGGAATCATGACCCCCGGGGGAAGGGCGGTGCCATTATAGGGAATCAAAGTTTTACATAGAAATATATAGGAAAAATCTTTGAAAATCTTCTTCTCAGGAACCACTGGGCCAAAAAAGCTGAAACATATGTGCCCATGGAAGGATCATGGGTTAGTGTAGATTTCAAAATGTCTAAACTAGTGCTAATTGTAACGGGGACCGTTACAGATGTTCCCCAAACGCTCCCCAACTCCCTTTTGGTGCCATATTCCCTATAAGCTTCATTAAATAAGACAAACTATGCATTTGAGACTTTAGCAACGTTTACCCAGAAGTGTACCAATTTCATTCAAATTTTAGCATTGCACGCGTGCGCATGTGAATGCACGTGCGTAATGACCATATAATCTTGTCTTAACAATCTCTAGATTTTAATATACTACATATCAAAGTATTTGATCCAAAAGTATTTAAAAATACGCTAATTCAAGTGTATTTTTTTATTTTACTCATTTCACGTGCACGCACGTGCTCACATGAGCATGGTGACCATACTTTCTTGTAGAAGTCCATTACATCTGTCTATGTTCTAAATCCCACCCTGTTTGGTTGAAAACCAAGGGAGTTATAGCTGTTCAAAGATTCAGCCAATCAGATTGCAGCGCACGTACATGCACATGTATCCATGTGCATGTTGACAATATATTCTTGTGGAAATCTATTATATCTATCAATGTTCCAAATCCCATCCTGTTTGGTTGAAAATCAAGGGAGTTATAGCTATTTAAAGCATAAGCCAATCAGATTGCAGCGCACGTGCATGCACGCGTTTTCATGATAATTGCTATATATATTATTGTAGGATATCCTAATACATGCCTATGTTTAAAATTTCGAAGGATTTCGTCAAAAAACAAGAAAGATATTGAGACTTAAGTTTCAGCCAATCAGAGCGAAGCGCACGTGCATGCGCGTGAGATCTTGCTTTTTTGACCATGTCATCTTGTCTATGCTTCTAGTATATACTTCTAATATGAGTTTTAAAGCATATCATCAATAATTTAAATAGTTACGTCTGTATCAATTATATTGGACATTTCTCGTGCTGCACGTGCGAGCTCTTGCAAGCACACGTGCATGCACATGCTTTCATGATATTTTTTTTAATACGGGCTGTAGATCTCCCCAATGTATGACTATGTTCAAAATTTCAAATGATTTTATCAAAAAACAAGAAAGATATTGAGACTTTAGTTTCAGCCAATCAGAGCGAAGCGCACGTGCTTGCTCGTGCGATCTTGCTATTTTGACCATGTCATCTTGTGCATACTACTCATATATCCTTACATTATGAGTTTCAAAACATTTTGTCTAAAAATAGAAAAGTTACGGTTATATCCATTATATATTGGTCATTTCAAGTTTTGCACGTGCGTGCTCTTGCAAGCACGTGCGCGCAAAATGACCTTGATTCCGCAAATCTACATAACATGCCTACTTACCCTAAAAAGGTTTCACCTAAGTCGAATGTGTAGTTTACAAGATCACTCGCGGACAAAATTTTCCCAGGAAGAAAAATAATAATAATAAGAATAAGAATAATAACTAGTGCTAATTGTAACGGGGACCGTTACAGATGTTCCCCAAACGCTCCCCAACTCCCTTTTGGTGCCATATTCCCTGTAAGCTTCATTAAATAGGACAAAATTTATGCATTTGAGACTTTAACAACGCCAAGTTCATTCAAATTTTAGCATTGCACGCGTGCGCATGTGAATGCATGTGCGTAATGACCATATCATCTTGTCTACACAATCTGTAAATTTTAATATACTAAATATTAAAGTATTTAATCCAAAAGTATTTAAAAATACGCTCATTCAAGTGTATTTTTGATTTAACTCATTTCACGTGCACGCACGTGCATACATGAGCATGGTGTCCATATCTTCTTGTAGACGTCCATTACATCTCTCTATGTTCTAAATCCCACTCCGTTTGGTTGAAAACCAAAGCAGTTATAGCTGTTTAAAGTTTCAGCCAATCAGATTACAGCGCAAGTACACGCACGTGTATGCATGTGCATGGCGACCATATCATGTTGTAGAAGTTCATTATATCTATCTATGTTCCAAATCCCATCCTGTTTGGTTAAAACCAAGGGAGTTATAGCTATTTAAAGTTTAAGCCAATCAGATTGCAGCGCACGTGCATGCACGTGATTTTATGACAAATGCTATATATCGAATTGTAGGATATATTAATGCATGGCTATGTTCAAAATTTCATAGGATTTCGTCGAAAAACAAGAAAGATATAGAGACTTTAGTTTCAGCCAATCAGAGCAAAGCGCACGTGCATGCGCGTGAGATCTTGCTATTTTGACCATGTCATCATGTCTATACTACTAATAAATAATCAAATTATGAGTTTCAAAGCATTTCATCAAAAAATAAAAAAGTTACGGCTATATCAAATATATCGGTCATTTCACGTGTTGCACGCGCACGCTCTTGCAAGCACGTGCGCGCAAAATGACCTTGATTCCACAAATCTACATAACATGTCTACTGACCCTAAAAAGGTTTTACCTACGTCGGATGAACAGTTTACAAGATCACTCCCGGACAAAAAAGTACCCAGGAAGAAGAAGAAGAATAATAATAACTAGATGTGAAACTCGTTGCGAGCAACGAGAGGTCTTCCGTCCGATTCCGGAAGGAAAACGTTAAATCGAGCAGAAAAATTGAAAAAGATTTGCACACAAGGGGGATTGAACCCAAGTCGCCAGCATGAAACTCCAACGCACTAAATACTACGCCATCGCGACCTCAACTCTAAATCTACTTGTATATATGTACAAAACAGTGCTTTTGTCTTAAAATTATGAAAGGCAGGTCACTTTTTAAAATTTAGCGATAAACGCCACGAGTTAATCTTTGCGCCTTTTCTTTGGAATGTTCTATTAAATAGGTGTGATATCTTCAATGAAGTTTAAAAAAGAACGTTCTTATAGTCTATTCAAGGTTTACAAAGTATATTAACACATTTTACAAATTCCATATTGTATATATGCATTTAACACTAAAGCGGTGAAACAGTTATGAATTTTTAACTTTTTTCAGTTTCCTTTGTATCCCCAAAGATAACTATCCCGATTAGTAAGTCGACAAAGGTTGAAATGTTTCGCCAAAAAACATGGCTCCTCCTACAGCGGTCATGGAATCAGATATCATTATTGATCAATAACTCTGAGACAAGAATGCTAAAATAAACTCCATGAAGCGATCTTTTAAAAAACATCTTATTTTTGTCTTATTTATTAGTTTAATAAGACACAAGTGTGCATAGGAAAAACAGTTGTTAAGATTTATACTTAAAATATTAATTTATATTCTTTTTTGAGAAAGCATTACTTATAAGCATGATTAA